CATTCTGGCGCTAAGTAGATGATATGTACTAATACCATGAGAATTATTTGGAGTATTTACAATTTGCTTTAATCAGTAATCTTTCAAATCTGAAGTGGTTCCGCAAACATGCCACCTAATTATCCTGCAATAATGTAACAATAAAAGCTAAGATACCCAGGGTCTTTCAGTACCATAATTCTAATCTTTAATCACTTTACAATGATAGAAATCTTTTCAATGAAATAAACTAAGCATTAAGTGACAAAAAGTAAGAAGCTGTTTTGTTTGTGTGTTTGATGTATATATTTGTACGACCATGCATTTTACTACTTAACTCATCTCGTTCCATTAGAAGAGATGCTCTTATCTCATTTCATTGATAACAAATGTCTCAGACTTCTGTAATCCAGTAACCCCTCTTTAGGTAAGAACATCCCATGTCATTTTATTTGGAAAGAATAGAAGGAAATCCTATTGCAATGGAATTAGCAGAATTAACTTGTATGGTACTGAAACCTGGGTGAAAACACTGATGGATTTGAAGGTCTCTCCCTGTATCTCACTTCCAAGCATTGTTAAATGTACATAAAATTATTGAGGTATTGAGCAATGAAAATTGTTATCTATCCCTTTTTTATGATCATTTTATTATCATTTTCTAGTTCAGCAAAGTTCCTCCTCATAGTTGATTCAGAAACTGTTTCTCTTTTGGATCAACGAGCTAGTTTTGATATCTGTAAAATGTCTTTCTCCCCTCCCCCAAAGTTTCATTTTTTTAAAAGAAATATTGATTCCTCATCCATGATTACATATATATAACCATTAATAATGTGCTCTGGGCACTTTTATGAAAGTATTTATAAGTATATAGATGATGGATGTATTTTATGCTACAGTTATTTGCTCAAATGTCTTGAGGTTATATTTGCCTCAGAATCAATAGGAGGTAACAAAGTGCATTAAAAAAATGTCACAACACATAAGGAAATGTTATTTACAAGCTCTGTGAGGGTTCATTTAAAATTCAAAGACTTGGAAAGAATGGAATATGTTTTTTAGAAATAAACAAATCCAGCACACCTGCATACTGATCAGACGATATGAAGGGAAAAAGTAACTTATCGTTAGGTGTCTGTCTGTGAGTTTTCTGCTCAACTGAGCACATCATTCTATTGGTGGGACTAAAGCGCATTATAGGTCCATTCAGGGAAGTTCTAGCGGTAAGTTGTGCACTTTATTTTGATGTCTGTTTATCCCCTCCCTCTGTTGGCCTTCTTTCTACGTCTTATTTCGCTTCAGTTGTACAGGTAAGAATCGGCATTGTTCAACATTCGGCGTTCCCTTTTGGAGTGAAATGAAACATGAAAATCGTTGCAACCTCATCTCACACCTTTGTGCGTGTGAAGTCTGGTGTTTTCAATACAGGAGTCATCATCCTATATCTAAAGGGTTACAGACCTACTTTGTTCGGGATTAGGGATTTACCACTTTGAGGAATTTCCCATGTGAGTCTACTAATTTTCATGAGTAATAAACAGATTACCAAAAAGATTAAGAAGTGAGAATTAAGGAAGATCTTGTGCATTATAATGAAAGATAGTTGTTCAGACACAATATTTTTTTTTAATGAAAAGTTAGAAAAACATGGAAATGTTTAGATATTATTCATTTTAATTCTTCAAATAGCATTTAAAGTAAATTTAAGAACAAGTTTCATAACTTTTAAGTTTTTTTGTGAAAACCATAGTCGATTGAGCTTGTCTAACAATTGACAATGCCTTTTATTCAATGATTCCACTTTTGTATGATTATTGATTGCTTAAAATTGAGGTGTAGACGGATCAAACAGAGGCCTGTAAATATTGCGATCTTATTTCTTTTATTTTCTTGCAGAATTGACAAATGTAGTATGTTTGCATTTGTTAAAGCTGTTGTTTGATGTGACATTGTGTGGATGTTTCCATCTGAGGCTTGTTATTTGGGTGTTACTGAAGGTAAACATAGTCTTACAGGTGTTCATCTGGGAAAGGAGCTTGGCGGAACTTCTCACTCATTCAGACCCAACAATGCTGCACAAATTCTTCACACCTTTCTTTAGAAATCACACCTGAGCCATAGCTCGGCTTTACCGGCTGAAACACTGCGATTAATATATTGCTTTCTCCTTGTTCGGTTTGCACTTTGCAACAAGTCAGGTGATAAGGTGTAGGAGGGTTCGTTGAGAGTACTCAATAGATGGCGAATGGCGAATGCTGATCTCTGCGTGTGGTCTGCTTCCCTCGTGAGGGCGACTCCTTGTCTGTTCTCCCCGCCACACACCTGCATTTCCAGCTTGCCTCGGACTCTTTGCCCGCTTTGCTTTGACGATTTTACACACCAGCAACATCAAAGCGCAGCCCATTTTCAGTCCTTTATCACACCAACATTGGAGTTAATGATGGGTGCTGGTGTTTAGAAAGAGTACCAACAGGGGGCCCCACTCTGCTCGCAAAAAGCGGAAGAACGTGGTGTGATTTTTCATAAACTGATGTAGAGTTCAAAAAACCAACGTGTCAATCACACCTCTATTTATTGGCATGTGCCAAATTTGGCCGCGTTTTCAGCCAGAAGATGCAGTATTGGATGTTTTACTTACAGATGAAGGAACATCTTTAGTATATATTGTTGCTCAATCGACTCACTGTACTTTTGACCTTTCATCTAATTGTGTCAAAAACCTTTAGCCTAAAGAGATTTGATTTGGCAAGAATCAACGAACCCTAGATCAATACCTCAACCAGGCATATAAGTACCTTGAAGAAATCTTGCCATTTTTATTTTGAAGGATACAAACTTTTGCCAAATAATCATTCAGTTTTTTTCTGATGCAACTAAGTTGAACAAGAATGTAGGTGATTTTCTATCACTAAAAAAAGGGACTTATTTCTGTTTGGCAAGCCGTTTGGAAATATTACCTACTACAGTATGAGTCAAAATAAACTAACCCCCCTAACGCGTGTAACGTTTGCAATACGTTAATTATATATTTAACGTTTGTAGGCGTTACCCGTTAGACGTTAGCGTTACCCGTTAGTTTTGTTAGTTTTGTTAGTTTTGTTAGTTTTGTTAGATGATGTTCTAAAATTGACCGAACGAAGGAACGATATATGCGCTTCAAGAAAATGATGCCTAAAATATCTGAAACATCGTAATTATCATCTCAAAATACGAGCACGAGTATGTTCAAAATTAAATACGATGAAACAATGCCAAACTAATTTGAAACATCCTTATTATCGTCTCAAAATTAGGGAATGAAGTTACGATATGTGCTTCGAGATAATGATGCCTAAAATATCTGAAACATCGTAATTATCTTCTAAAATTGACCGAAAGGAGGAACGATATATGCGCTTCAATAAAACGATGCCTAAAATATCTGAAACATCGTACTTATCATCTCAAAATACGAGCACGAGTATATTCAAAATTATTTACGATAAAACAATGCCAAACTAATCTGAAACATCCTAATTATCTTCTCAAAATTAGCGAACGAAGTTACGATATGTGCTTCGAGAAAATGATGCCTAAAATATCTGTAACATCGTAATTATCTTCTAAAATTGACTGAACGAAGGAACAATATGCACTTCAAGAAAATGATGCCTAAAATATCTGAAACATCGTAATTATCATCTGAAGATACGAGTATATTCAAAAGTATTTACGATAAAACAAAGCCAAACTAATCTGAACATCCTAATAATCTTCTCAAAATTTAGTAGCGAACGAATTAACGATATGCGCTTCGAGAAATTGATGCCTAAAATGTCTGAAACCATGCCCCAAACGTCGAGTCTACCCTTTATCCTATTAAGTCCCTGCTTACTCGGGCTTCAGGACATCACTTTCACAGGTCATTCCTATACCTCTCCTCCAAGTAAATCTAATTATCTCTAATCCTCTTAACTAGCGAGGGACAATTATCTATTACGTAATCACCTTGACTACAATACCTTTAATCACGAGTGTGCCAGATTAACTGCGTTTGTCTCAGTGTGTGTGTGTACTAGAACTTGTACTATAAATTGAAAAGGATATAGATCGCGGGAGAGAGAGAAGCGGAAACAATAGAATATCGCTGATGTTACAGGCTTTTATAACAAAAAGTAAGCCGACAGACCGAAAGAAATGAATGAAGAAAATGAAAACCAATATCACTGGCACTTGAAAAAATGAAAGAGACATTAAATCGCGGGAGAGAAAGAAGCGAAAACAATCAAATATTGATGATGTTACAGGCTTTCATGGCAAAAAGTAAGCCTACGCAACGACAGAAATGATTGAAGAAAATGAATGCCAATATCATCGGCGCTTGAGAAAATAAAACAATTAATGAGTTGCGGGAGAGAGACAGAAGCGAATTCAATTAAATATCGCTGATGTTATAGGCTTTTATGACAAGTTAGTAAACGGAACGAAACAAATTATTGAAGCAAATGAATGCCAATATCACCCCGGCGCTTGACAAAGTAAAAGAGAGATAGATCGCAGGGGAGGGAGAAGCTAAATCAATTATACATCGCTGATGTTACAGGCTTTCGACGGAACGACCAAAATGATTGAAGAAAATGAATGCCAATATCACCAGGCGCTTGACAAAATAGATCGCAGAGAAGAGAGAAGCGAAATCAATTATATATCACTGATGTTACAGGCTTTTACGACAAAAAGTAAGTCGACGGAACGAAAAAAAAATGATTGAAGAAAATGAATACCAATATCACGGTTATCACCAGGCGCTTGAGAAAATAAAAGAGAGATACATGTAGATCGAAGGGGAGAGAAGCGAATCAATTATATATCGCCGATGTTACAGGCTTTCATGGCAAAGAGTAAGTCGACGGAACGAAAGAAATGTATGAAGAAAATGAATGCCAATATCATCGGCGCTTGAGAAGGAAAAAAAAAAAGATATAGATCGCGGGAGAGAAATAAGCGAAAACAAATAAATATCGCTGATCTTACAGGCTTGCATGACAAAGAGTAAGCCTACGGAATGAAAGAAATGAATGAAGAAAATGAATTCCAATATCACCAGGCGCTTGGCAAAATAAAAGAGAGATAGATCGCAGGGAAGAGAGAAGTGAATTCAATTATACTAAATATCGCTGATGTTACTGGCTTTTATGACAAAAAGTAAGTCGACGGAACGAAAGAAATGAATGAAAAAAATAATTCCAATATCACCAGGACATTGACAAAATACAAGAGAGATAGCTCGAAGGGGAGGGAGAAGCTAAATCAATTATACATCGCTGATGTTACAGGCTTTTACGACAAAAAGTAAGTCGACGGAACGAAAACAATGATTGAAGAAAATGAATGCCAATATCACCAGGCGCTTGACAAAATAGATCGCAGAGAAGAGAGAAGCGAAATCAATTATATATCACTGATGTTACAGGCTTTTACGACAAAAAGTAAGTCGACGGAAAATAAAAAAATTGATTGAAGAAAATGAATACCAATATCACGGTTATCACCAGGCGCTTGAGAAAATAAAAGAGAGATAGATCGAAGGGGAGAGAAGCGAATCAATTATATATCGCCGATGTATACAGGCTTTTATGGCAAAGAGTAAGCCTACGCAGTGACAAAAATGATTGAAAAAAATGAATACCAATATCACAGAACTACACGTGCACTACACTGTGAAGATCACTCCCTGGCCCTTGGCTCATGAATATAACTGTCAGATCCTGAATAGGGGCTATGATAGGATTAAGGCGATTAGCAGGTAATCCCTTATAAGGGATTACGAACAACCCTGTAAATGTGATGTCCCTACTTTTTAAGGGGATGTTTGAGTCATGCATCGTAATTATCATCTAAAAAAACAAGCACGCATAAAATTATATTCAAAGTGATTTACGATAGAACAATGCCATATCAATCTGAATTTCTGAAACATTGTAATTATCTTCTAAAATTTACCGAAGTCTGGATATGCGCTTCAAGAAAATGATGCCTATAGTATCTGAAATACTTATCAACTCAAAATACGAGCATGGAATTTTAAAAAAAAAATCGACAAAATAATGTCAAACTTATCTTAAATTAAGCTGATATGATAACTTATGCAGACGGACGATAACTGACTTCAAATCCAGGTACTATTCCATCAATAAGGTCAAAATAATGAAGCAATTATGTCATCATGAGCGCGAGATTTTGCAAACGTAAGACACGTGAAAAAGCATTGTAGTCATCCCGATTTATCATTGAACGGTTGCTCGCCCTAAATCAAAGCCATTTTATTCGATGCCAATTATGCCCATTGTTAGCTCAAAATTGTTGAGTTTTTACAGGGCTACGGTCTCGCAAGGTGAACATCAGAAGCAAAATCTCATTTTCTGCCAATTTCATAGCAGGACAAAGAGGAAGAAAAACGCGATGAATAGTATAAAAGATAGGGATCCAATTTATCCGGATAGCTACTGCTTTATAAATTTGTTCCCCCTGCTTTTGATTAACCTGCCACACATTTATAATCCCATATAGGAGAACAATGCAATGCATGTATCTGAGCAGCGTCTCTACTGCTACCATCGCATGTCAATCATGAACAGTGGCCTAGCTCTTTTGTTCCATTTTGCAGTACATAATAATTAGTAGCCCCCTGCTGCCAATGACGAGAAACACCTCTATTTTCTCCATGCCTTTAAATATTTAATTTGTAGTGTGTCTTTTTTTATCTTTTGCATCCAGGACATGGCACAGAAAACATGCCTTCAGGAACGGTTGCATGAATTTATTTTTACAGAAATATGCATGTTGTTGATTTATGTTCATTATTTTGTTATTGGTTGCTATTTTTGGTACTAACAACGTCGTTTATAATACTAATTTAACAGTTTTCAAACATTCAACGTTTTATTTTGACATCGTTTTTTTTCTTCTTGCCCTGCATTAGAGTAATATGTTGAACATCACTTATGTTTCACTATGACTTGTTTTCTTTGAAACTCTTTACTATCTAGTCTTTCCGACTTTATTTTAAAATCTTTTGTTGTTTTTCATTATTGACTTTCTTAAGAAATAACTAATTTGTATTACTCGCTTTCTACATTTTCATTCTTATAAAATCATGTTTCGTTCCCCATTAACATATCTTAAAGCGGTAGTTCAGTTTTGGGGTGTATGGGGAAGGATTTGGACTATTCTCAGGACTTGGTGTCTAGTTTTTCTTTGCAACTCGTTACTAATTCAGTCTTTCCAACATTATTTTAATATTTAAGATATTTTGTTTTTCACTATTGATTTCCTAAAAAAATGACTACTTTGTATTACAACCCCCCCCCCCCCCCCACCCCTTACAGTAAATGCACCTGACCTCATCGAGTCCTCAGAAGAGACGTATTTTTGGTTCTTGGAATTCAATTTAATTCCTTCCGATTCTTCAATTTGTCATTTGGTAATAACGCGATCTGACAATTGACATACTTGAATTACTTGATTGATAAAATTGTTTAGTAGGATGACCAAGTACTTACTTTATGCACTTGCCAACATCAGGCACATCATTTTGTGTATAAAGTGCCTCATCACTTTCTACCAACCTGTATCGTAGATTGATCCGTGAGACTAGGTAGTAAATGTTGGAAAGAGGAAGACATGATATATGAAATAATAAAGGGAAAAAGATGGCCACGAGGAGAATGCCTTTTTATCTTCTAATTAGATCATTACGTGGCTGGAGAACCATCTCTGTGCAATACAATCTGAATTACCGGGAGCTTCGAACCTGCTCTTGATATTGCATAGCAGTGAGCCAGTTTTGTTTGTTTATTTATTTAAATACGGTGATTAAAAAAAACATGCTTTCAGCTTAGCATAGCTATTTTTAGCATGGAAGTCCCTACATGGTATATTAAAGTACATAAAAGTTACCAAGAAGTAGGTCCTAGCAGTCTTCAAGTTCCAAGTCCCTGGTCCTAGGGTGGAAACCTAAATCAATGGAAACTTCCTCCCTGCCTGTGTACTCTTACATTGCGTAAAATGCACTTTCACTGTCATCAAGCATGGTTTGTAGTAGGTCCATGCATCAAGTCTCTCAGCAAGAAATTGAGATTAGAATCCAGTCGTTGACTGATATACTTATGTCAGCAAGATAAGAGATAACTTTGTTTCTCTGGGGACTTGGTGGTTGAAGGCTGGTGGAATGTGACAGCTATAGGGCCACGCGAGCGCGAGCACATACTAGTAAATCAAGTTTAGGGGTGAATATAGTAGCGATCTTTTGTTTTTCTTCCAGTCTCTCTCTACTCCGCCCCCTTTATCTCTTCACTATCTTCCCTCCTTCTTTCACTCTCCCTCCCCATCTCTCTCTCTCTCTCTTCTTTCTCTCTATATACCCCGTCTCCCCTCATCTCTTCCTCTCCCTCTCTCTCCCGTCCTTTCAACTTTTCTCATATTCATTCCTTTCCTTAAAATCTCACAGCATGCGCGTCATTTTCTCTGACACAACAGCCATATTTGTCCATATTAATACAAGTTCATAACCCAAACAACTTTGAAATCATCTTTTTATGAAGTTATGCGATAAAGGTTATAATTGAAGAGGTGAAAATTGGGCTCTTCTTAAAACTACAAAAGGCGGCACTCATCAGGAATGAAAAAGCACTTACGATAATGGGAAATGGGCATTAGTTGAAAGAAAAGGGGCACCAATCATATTTTGATAGGGGCATTTTCCGGAGGTGAAGGGGGCCCTTATCTGAAGTAAAAATGATTAACTTCTCGTACCTGAAAAGGGGCATTTACGAGAAGGGAAGTGCTTTTTTTTATAAATTGAGGTAGCTATTATTATAAGGGGCATTTATGAAATTATAAGGTGCGCTTGTCCGAGTTAAAAGGAGGTAGTTATTAAAAGGGGAAGGGTCACTTCTACAACAAAGGAAAGAGGGCACTTGTCAAAGTAAAAGGGGCACTTTGTGGGTACTTGAAAAACGGGGGGGGGGGCACTGTACCGCTAGCTAAACGTAACACAAAAACAGTTTGCCATTCATTCTATTCATTCTCAGCTTGCTACTCTTTCTCTTTTTTTAATGGAGGTATAGTTATCAATAGAAAAAGGAGCATTTGTGAAAATACCAGGAGCGCTTATCCGAGTTAAAAAGGGGTAGTTATTAAAGGGGAAGGGGCACTTTTCTATGGAAAAGGGGCCCTTTTGAGGTACTTGAAAATGTGGGGGGGGGGCACTGTACCGCTAGCTAAAAGTAACACAAATACAGTTGGCCATTCACTTATTCTATTCATTTCCGGCCTGCTACTGCTCCCTATAGCCAGTGGCTTAGATCCTTACGTAATACCTATTGTTCAAGGGGGATCCCCTTGAACATAGGATCCCCCTGAACAATAGACATTAGGCCTTGTAGCTAGGACAACGCCCTTTGCCCCCGCCGAGTGTCAATAGCAGGCCACATTCAGAGTAAGCTTTTTTTGTATGTGACAGGAAGTTTGCTATTAAGCCTTGACCGTAGCTCTCCATACAAGCATTACTATAGTGTTGGAATATATTCCGACGGCTATTGATACGAATATACATACAGGAACATAATTTGAAATTGTATATGCGTACAACTGCTTGTCTTTACATTTTCATTTCATAGGGAAAATAGAGGGGACTGATGAAATGATACATTTAGATAGAAAGGGAGAGAGGATATACAGTACGAGAGATGATGAAAATAGAGGAAAGCAGTGTCGCCGGGATGCGTTATTTTTTTATGCGGCACAGATTGGGGCTTTTTTTTAAAAAGGAGTCTTGATTTACAGACTAATACTGGTCGTGTGCGTACTAAACAGTAAAGGTAGTAGAGGTCTGTTTTTAATACTGTTACATTTAATCCACTACCGCATGGAAAATCATTACATCAACAATTAAAATCAAATTGGAAAACTGAAGAGGAGGCAGCACGTCAATAAGGAGAACATCACAATAATGAGTCAATAAAACTAACTTAAACGAAGAGGAGTGTTATCTAAACACATTATAATGCTAGCTAACATGACTAGTCTCACCTAAGTGCAGACACTATTCAGAAGGGAAAGAACGTACTTCCCATAGGTTTAACACGCGCCATACCCCAATCTGTGCCGCATAAAAAAAATAACGCCGCCGGGATAGGGGGGGGGGGGGGGGGGGGGGGGGGAAGCAAAAAAAGAAAATAGGCAACATTTGTGGTTACCTCTTTATTTTTAATTTTTTTTTTTTTGGCAGGGCTCGGGGCCAATTAGATACATATATATATACATCTAGCTAGGTTTACGAAAGGTCCTTGGTTTACGGTCAGCTGGGATGACGATCGTAGTCTGTAAATTTACAGCAGAAAAATCGGTGTTGTGACAAAATTAATATAGAAATTAAAATTGGAATTTACATTGCATGTACCTTAAAGTGAAGATAGGGATGTAAGTTTGTATACCTAGTGTTTTTTTTTTTCTTTTCCCTTTTGTTGATTTATTTTTATTCAATACATCATTGTAATTATTTTTTCCCATTTCCTATAAATTACCTTCTATCTTTACGTCTCCCGATTTCTTTTTTTCTTGAAATCGATTTTTTTTCCCCCTCTCTTTTCCATCACCTACTTCATCACCTACTTCATCTGCACCCACTAATTTTGTTATTCCATCTCTTATAAATGATGATTTAAAAAAAAAAAATGTTTTATTAAAAAATTCTCAATAATTTATAAATAATAAAACCTAACTTTTATAATATCTATTTTTCGGAATTTCATTGAAATTGGGGTGGGTGTGCATCTAAAACAAAAGAGAGAAGGTCATAGATCATTAGAGAGTGGGAGGGAGAAAAACTGAGTGAGAGAGGAATTGGAGAGAAAAAGGATGCAAGAAATGATGGATGTTGAAAGATGAGGTGTTGAAATTATAATTTTATCTTTTTGTAAATATATATGAGAAGTTAAAATATTTCTTAAATCCTTTTTAAATGGTCCGTATGTTCCAATACACATGGCATAGCTCTTTAACAACGACATTAAATAATCACAGATTTATTATGACATTCCCCCCCCCCCCAAGTATGTCCCGAGTGGCGCTCTCAGAACAAAGGCGCGTAACAAAGTTAAATACATGAATATACGCGGTGTTTTGGAACTTTGGTGTTGATTGACATGACGCCTCATTTTAGATAGACAATCAGCCTATACAGTGCGTCCCAGAAAACACGAAACCGAGAATTGCCAATGTTTTATCATAACTTAATCACAATTAACATTAATAAATGAAACATATTTGTAGATCAGTGTAGGTCCACGATTAGAGAGAGAGAGAGATAACAAAACAAAAATTGGGGGGGGGGGGACAAACATCCATAGAGAGAGAGAGGAAGATAAGAAAGGAGACATTGGTGATTCGAGATAGATTATCAAGAGAGAGAGAGATTAAAGGTGTAGTACCCAAATTACTGCCCACCTACCTGACCCATGCCCTGACCAGGGCAAGGAAGTGGTTGAATTGTTATGTTCCTTCTAATGATGTCGCTTGAATCCACATTGTCTTTGAAGAAATGATTCACCTACCTGAATAAATGTATACTGCGTCACTTCATCATCAGCCCATCACATCATCATCACCATCATCATGTTAGTATCAACATCATCATTATTTTTAAATGCGCAAATCTGATTTGTTGAATGAAACGCTTACAAAAAAGATATTAAAATAAAGCGTCTTTACTTACAATCGATTGCAACTATTTGTGCTACTTGGCCCAGCTCTATTATCATCACCATCGCTTTTCTTTATCATCATCGCGGCGAATATGCCAACTGTCACATATTCATGAGCTAGAAAAAATATTTATCTCCGTAACATACAACTGCTTTTCAGGACTAATAGTTTGTATTGGATATTGCTACATTGATAGCAAACTATTCATAATTGCATGCATATCATTATATTGGTATTGTATATGGGATATAATGTACAAACTGTACATCCAAATGAAGACTAAAGGATGACGAGGATGGTGTGCGATTCTGGTGAGGAACCAAAGGAGAAGAGGGCATAGACTGTAAAATTTATACAGAACTTGGTGGAAACAGGTAGGTAATTGATATTGTTCTCGAAGTATTCATCATAAAAATACATTCACTACTAATCGTAGTCGTAAATATTGGCTTGATTGAGGCAGTGAGGGATCTTAGCCTTGGTTATCACACCCCTAGGAATCACGGGCGGTTCGTGGCTTGACGTTTCTTGGTTGGAGTGGCAGGTAGTGTCTTGGTGCAGGGGGAGGATAATGATTAATTGTCTGCAAGAGGTAACTTGTGGAAACACTTACGTATGATTGGGCGGGCGGGGGGATTGGGGTAGCAGTAGTGTCTCAGGATAATGATCAATTATATGCTACCGGTAGCTTGTGAAAAAAACTTACTTACTTTATTGATTGCAAGACAATAAAGCCATAAACACCCTCGTATATATATATATATATATATATATATATACATATTTTACAGATAAGAGAAATTAAAAACGAAAAACAAACATGTGGGTTATAAAGGGCCATAGATCATTGTGGAAGTAGACTACCGGTACTAGTATTCCTCACTTCATACCTAATTTATGCATAGTTTTATTAGTTAAAAACAAAACGGGATTTTAAATCAGAACAAAGCATGCATAAAAAAGTAGTAGAGCCTACAAACACCAGTCATTTTTCAGAAAATCCGTTGTGAAAAACAAGGAAAGAACTCGAAATAGCATTAATTATTTTTGAGACTGAATATCATCATAATAATCAAGTGACAAAGAAACAAGATAAAATGAACACCAGCAAGCTAAACTGAAAACACGAGCAATGCTCGAAATGCGTCTGAAAAGCATGCAGGGCAACAAAATAAAAACATGTCAAACTATAACTGCAACAACAATTATAACAACACCAACAACAGCGAGGCCGTAGCGCTGACGGTCTACACCGCCATAGATCTCCCGTTCCGCCCACGTCAATTTGCCTATTACGCTCGGCTAGCTCCTCCCCTTCTCTAAAGCAGTCGCTATGCGGAAGTAGCGTTCCGCTAGCTACTGTGCGACGTGCTGGTAAAAAAAAGTGTGACATAAAAAGACAGATATTGGAGGCATTTCCGCTGAAAAATTAACCAGGTTTTGAGGGATATATCTCGGGAATGAAGCAATTGTAAGTCATGAAAATTGACATATATCATTTGGATGGACATTTCTGAATTTTTGTGTTTAAAAATAGTGAATTCACAGGAAAATCGCTAAGTTAAAAAGATCGTTCTTCGTGATTGTATTCGACCACGTTGTGAGCAAGTTTCCCACGCTGCTATACACTGCTCTCTAAATATTCTTTGATATTGCCGACTTGTTGTAGCTTCTTGTAAAGAGACGTACGTCTCTGCGAAATTTACCAGACCCTGTTTGCTTTCAACTGTAATGTTTGGGACATTCCTGGCGCACTCGAAAAATTCCATACCCGTTAATGAACTTCCTAACGGGTATGGGACATTTAACGGCAAGGGGACATTTAACGGCAAGGGGACATTTAACGGCAAGGGGACATTTAACGGCAAGGGGACATTTAACGGCAAGGAGACATTTAACGGCAAGGGGACATTTAACGGCAACTACAGAACCGACCCGTTAGTAACGCGTTATTTATAACGTTAGCGTTAAACGCGTTAAATCGTATAGTTTATTTTGACTCATACTGTAGCTTGTAAGAGAAATTGTTCTTAATGAATGATAGCCCTGTACTATTGTCAAATCTATGAAAGAAGTAGATCCAGATATCGGTAGTTAAATTTCAGTTATTCCCTCTCCATAGGCAAATATCAAACATATGAGGTTCTTCAAGTCCGTACTTCAACCTACAATCTATAACCAAGTTCAGCAAACTCATACTTTTCTAAAATACGTCTATTCTCTCAAACAGAGATATATTTAGCAATAAAGGGGTGCTTCTCATATATATTGTCATCCTCTTTGACCAAGACCGGTGATAAGAAGGCTGATTTTTGTTTATGCAAAATTGGTCTGTGAGATAGCGGCACGTCCTTTGATGTAACAGAACCAGGAACGTTCTTGTTTGATGTTCCCTCATTTAGTGTTTGTCAGAGCCCAACTTCTAGACTGCCAAATTAAGCAGGTATTATTTTGATTGTTTAGACCTAGACTGGCTTTATAAAACCCTTAGCTGCTCTTGTTTACTAGGGAGCCAGGCATATCTATGGTACGTGTTCATTATCACAAGTCTTTTGTTTTAACAAGTTCGCCTTGATTAAGAAACAACCTAAGTGAATAAATTCTTGTCCACTTACTTGAATATTGACCCCACTATTGGAACAGAGGATAGAAAAAAAGTATGTTTGTATTGGTTAGATTGAACCTCCAATAAAAATGATTCAGCAATTTACCTTGTGCAATTTTCTACAACTTACAAGAAGCAGTTCAATACTTCTTTGTATAATTGCAGTTTATTGTATGTTATGTGCATTCTACACTCAAATTGTATGGATTATTACCATTCAGGGTTACATGTACTTGTAATTGTAGTTCTAAATCCCTATCATATTTTATTTCTATTTGTAGATTTAGTTTGTTCAGTCTCATATCAGGACCTTGTACAAACCATAAAATATGCTGGCAATAGAATTAGTACTGTAGAGTGTAATGGGTGATGATTTTCTGTGGTAAAACAGTGAAATAAACAAATTAGATGGAGAAAATCCTCTAATTTTACTCATCAATGAACGGATGCAATATTTACATTGGTAGAATAGGAATCCAGTATGCATCCAGCCCAGTTTTCTCTGAAACCTGATATATTGACCAAGCGGATGTGCTTGGAATATGGCGCCTCTCATATTTCCTTACAGCAAGTCGGTTTGGGAAATGGCTAGCGAGATGAGTGCGTTTTATTCTCATCTGCTCTAGCGCGGCTCGGACCCTGTGTAACGCCACCGACCGATGCCCATTGTTGGAGCGGGTCAAGAACCTTAGGTAGTGACTTCACACCCGTGTTGGATTGGACAGGGGCAGTGTGATGGTAGTTGGTGTAGGGATGGGCGCGTTGGCGGTGGCTAGCTGTAAACAAAGCCGCCGTCTTCATTACATTGAACATTTACGATTTGGGGATCTTCTTTGCCTAATGCATATTCACGGTATCCCCTCTGTTTATGAGATGTGTGAATGAATTTGAGATATATTCCAATGTTGGAAGTTTTTTCCTTCCTCGGTCTGGAGCTGGGAGCCATAATTTAGTAATTAACATTGATAAATTTAATTTGTAAGAAAGTGTCGGCAATGGAATTGGATGATTTTAATCTTGGCTATAAATCATGCAAAAACAAAGCATATTAGTATCAAGATTTAGGGTAAATGAAATAACTTTTAAATTTTCAAACGTAATGCAAGTTAAAGATATTAAATTGAAAATGGTCAACAATTTTTTTCTTTTCTGATCAAGGTTTATAAGCTCTATCCACTGTGCTGTATTGTGATAAATTATAGTCTGACATAATGATTTGCCTTGGGAAAAATAAGCAAACAAAATAATCTTTCACAAAACATCATTGACTAGAGTCTTTACATTCACATGATAGTCCACAGGCCATCTATTTCGTAGTTTTTAGGTTGTATTTTAAACATAATGGATGATTTGTATCATTGCTATCCTAAACTGACACCAATTGAAAATTCATGAATAGAGTCTCTATGACAGAATATATAGAATGTGAGAATGTTTGCTGACATGCTATATCAGCTTCCATGCTATCTATGGCAGTGATCTCGTTGAATTCTTTTTTCCTCTCCACTACCGTCTTCCCCCCTCTCGTCGAGACCGATGTTCTTCTTTTTTGGTGTAGCCGTCCCCCTATTCAACCACTTCTGACTCTAGCTTGCCGACCCCTAGGGGTAGCCCAGAATGTAACTAATGAGAAAAATGAGAAGTGATCAATTAGGAGGGGATTTCTTCCCCGCCCGTAACAAAGCACCCAAAATGGTGCCCTTTTTCTCGGCTGGCCCTCAATCGCCATGGTAGTTTGATACTTCTTGGTGAGTCAGAGCCTCGTAATTGGGCGCTTTAGTCTTTCTATGCTCTCATTCCTCGCTATCCACATCCCCTCTCTCTCCTCCTCCATCTCCCACCCCCTCTCCCTTTTATCCACATTGTCTCTCTTCCTCATTGTCTCTCTTTATCCATGACCTTATTATCTTGGGTGTCTCTGTATCTCTCAAGGCATTCAATCTGCTCTCCCGTATCGGGGTGATAATTGCCTGAGACAAAGGATGTTTGCCACTTCAACGCCTCTCTACCAGTAGAACACCCCCCAAAACCCATCCTGGTTTCTTGAAGAGCATAGGGTGGTTACTCCAATTTGCTTGTTGCAGAGCGATACTTGGAAGTGTGAATCATGCCTCTTACACACTAGTGGGGTAGCTTAGTGAAAAAATCGTGACACGGTGGACAAAAGCATGATTTTTTCACCAAATTATCTTCACGATGTACCTTCTTAAAAAAGGCTATGCTCCAAGAAAATTGATGCTGGAAAGGTGGTGAAAATGACGTCATTATGACATCATCATTTATTCATTACATAATCACAGGAAAACCCCAAAAATAAAGCAACCGTGGTCCTACTTCTATAGTTTTGAAGCAAAAAAGAAATGAAACTTGGTGTATGTGATGACATTGAGGGGTAGATGTGCGAGACATGTTTTTTTGTGTTTGTCGGACAAAGCGTTGCCATGGTAACCACAATTTTACCAAACCTTATAGTGCAAATTACTTCCACAGAATTTAAGCAATTAATGTCAAATTTGGTATCTATAACGATCTATGAGTGTGGTTATAAAAAACACCCTTTGTGATTGTGCGCCACCTAGCGTTGCCATGGTAACCAGATATTTTTGCAAAACTCTTGCTGAGCGAACTACTTCCACAATATTGAAGCAATTGAAATCACATTTAGAGTTCATGACGGCACTGGGGTATAGATGTGCAAGACATACTCTTTTTGTTTTTCGGACAAAGCATTTCCATGGAAACTGTACTCGGATAAAGCGTTGTCCTGGTAAACACATATTTTTGCATTAACATGAAGCATTTAAGCTATTATGATCAAATTTGGTGTGTACGATGATCTATATGTGTAGTTGTGCAAAATGCCCTTTGCGTTTGCACCGGACAAAGCATTGTCATGGTAACCACAAACTTTTTGTAAAAATCTTGTTGAGCGAATTACTTAACTCAAAAAGAACTATGGGTTTTTTTAAACACACACACACACAACACATATACACAAATAATTTTTAACCCAAGTTACATTCTTTATGATCACATGAGTTGGATATACTGGATTAGGGGTATTAATCACCTTCAGTGATATTTCTAGTTTGCTCTGTTTTTAAATCTTCTTGGCATCAGAACTGATGGGTCATTACTATTATGGTACCACTTGGACTACATGTTATATATGTTATTGCATCTGATCACATATGTACACTAGCAAGATTTGGAATACATGTCTGACCAGACAAAGTATATATCTCATAAATAATTAATAGCTTACCATGCACCTGGAGAGTTGTGTAAACAGTAGGCTAAATAAAAGGAATGGTATTCCCAATGTTTTCATCATTACAAGCTTCTGAATGAGGGAAATGCCTACCTGGTAAGCGCAACCATACATTGTTGCTAATGAGATAAATGAAGGAATTATTTCTGACAGTTGCAAGAGCAAAGTTCTGTGCAGGGTAGCCCGGCTTTTGTGCACCTGCAGCGACTAACACAACCAGATTCTGACTTGCAGCCACACTTGATGAGCTCCTTACAGACTTTAGCTGCCTCGGGGATGGTCATCCAAACGGGTGCCCAGTGATTATCTTCCATTGTCCATCCCCACCCTTCTGGGGGAGGAACCGAAGGTTGTGCCTGGCGACATGTTGTCCAGATACCACCTTGGTATAGCACTCTCTTGATATGCTGGAGCAAGGCATCCTAATATAGTGGGAAAAAAACAAAACACATGGGGTAAAAGGTTAGTCAACTGTTTGGAGAAAAAAATAAAATACTGTGGGTGGAAATACATGTATGTTATCAGTAGCAAAGGATACTCATCTGAGCATCTTCCCATACCAGATTCCAGTATAACACAATATTCTTGCAAGGAGTGTTCAATAACATTTATAAAATGCAGAAAATGATATAAAGTAATGACCCCCTCCTTCCCTCTTATTGGTCAGCTATCTCTCTTATTGAATTTCTTGCTACGTTCAATATTCTGTCCCATATCTCTTGAAGTAGGAAAAGTGATTGAGAAGGTAAAAATGGAAATACCTGAGTTGGGGGTATATTCTCCAGGCTTCTTTTCTTCTTGCAGAAAAGCTCTCGGCGTGCTTCATTCACAGAGAGGAGATTGCTTGTGATGTCATACAGCAGGACTGTAAATCGCTCAAGATGACGGAAATGTTCACATGAAACATCGACTGCTCGGAATGGATGATCCACAAAGTGAAGGAATGCCTGTGTTACTTCAGGATAAGATTTCCAGACCCTCCAAGCACTTTTCTTCCCTTTTGCAAGAAAGCAAGACGTAGTATCACAGCCAGTGTAGGCATGAAACAGGGGCAGCGCTAGTGACTTGTCTTCTCCGAGATTTCTACAAATGTTGTTGATGTTATAGTGGCAGAAGTTCTTGCCCATACCGAATGCTACCCAAATGTCAATGTCAGGATATTCTACGATCAATGATGGAAGCTGCCCGACGAGAATAGCAATGATATCTGTGTCCACTGTTCGAATTACAATCTTCTTTGACCCTCTCTCCGCTGCATGTTGAAGATGAACTATGATTCACGTGTCAGCCTCTTCATGAGTGCAGTCTTCCATGGGCTCGCAATCACCTCTTGTAATTACTGAAGTACCTGAAATATTAAAGAGAAAGAAAAAAAGTTTCATAATTTTGTAAAGTTCTATTGATAAATTGTCACGATGGAAAACTTTTTATGTTTACAATGTTCTTTCCATATAAGTCACAGATAATTTATTTCAAAACTGACCTCTCAAGCTCAATAAGCTCCTTTCTATACCTGCCAACCTCTTGACATGAACATTTTTACTGATTTAGATAGAAAATCTTATTTTTAATGCATACTGGAGGCAAAAATCTTACTGTCTCACAAATTTGTAAAATCATACAGTAACACATTTTTCAAAAAATCTTATTTTTGTATCAGAAAATTTCAACTTGGGCGGTGAAAAATCTTACTAAATATGATAAAATGTTACTGGTTGGCAGGTATGCTTTTCTACATTTATTGCTTATAATTACACTAAATGATATTGAATTTTGCTGTTTTTTCAGTCAAATAATTATTACAAATTAGTATGAATCCGAATTAGAAGCACAGGAACAATAAAGTACCTGACGTTACATACAGCTCCTTGCCCTTGGGACACTCTCCTGCAGCCACGGTCTGTGTCAGGAATGCAAACAGCTCTTCTTTGTTGGTGCTGTCTTGGAGGAAGTCTTTCCATTTGACTGGCATTTTAGTCTTGGATGCTACCTTTGTGCGTACTCCACTTCCTCGTTTCTGGCGAGTAGATTCCTTGATACTGCAGGCCAAGTATCTGTCCCACACCAAATCCAGTCGTCTGACTCCTTGCAATTCACGGTTGAGAACGGGCTTGAAAACTGTTCTTGCATAGTCCTCAAATGTTGACACGGAAGTTGCTGGTAACCCATGAACTAGAGCTGCACCATCAAAAATCTTGCAGTCCACTTGTGCCGGAGGCTCTCCTTGTCCATTTGTGTTCAGACATGTTAGTAATTTAGACTTGCTGGATGTCAAGCGCAGTTTCCTACTATTTGAGATAGATGGCGGGTATGCCTGATTCTCGTGGCTGAAGAATACGGCTGGGTCACCGTCACGCAGCTGGTTTGCAATGTACATATGACCAAAGAGGCTCACATCATTCCGAAGAGATGCAATTTTCTCAGTTTTACGATTCCCTTTTGCCTTCACTGGTGTCTTGAAAAGTGGGAGAGAATTCTTCTTGATTGGTGCATGGATAGTTTTGCTTCTTTCAATGAGCACTTCCCGCTTGTATGTTTGATACTGATCAGAACCCAGTGCTTCGATATGTTGTACTGTCTCCACCACTGATTTATCAGCACATTCCCGAGAGTGCAAGACCAATAATTCAGAGTGATCTTCGAGGAAAGGGCTGCCATATTCGTTGATTGTCTTCATCAGTTTTGCTGTTTGATTTCTGAAAGATTCTTGGTTTGATTGTGTCTCTTCATGATGTCTGAAATTTTCCTCTGGATCTTCTTCAGGTAAGTATTCACTTTCAAATTCTGTCAGCAGCCTGGCTTGCTCAGGACCTGCAAGCATCCAACGTTGGAAAGCAACAGGATTTTCAGTTAAGCCCACGGCTCCACCCTTTCCTTTGACTTTGGCATTTTCCTGTTCATGGACTTGATCAATGGGAAGTGCAGAAAATCTCTTTTGTGTTCCTCTGACACAGTGGCTGGTAAGGACTGCATATCTCGCAGGTGGACAGAAACCCAACGGCTGTAATTGTAGTGGTCCAGCGCAAAAAACAAGAACATGAGGCTTTGCAGTGACTCCACAAAGAGGAGGAAGTCTCTCTCTCGATGAGCTCTAATGAATATCAGGATCAAAATCTCAGTTCGCAGCACCAAGTCCCAATATTGAAAAGTAGGGCTTTTACTGGACATAGCCTGTCTCCAGTCTTCAAATGTATCACCCTCACTTGAGACTGCAACCTGTTCATATGCACGTTCTTGTAGTATTGAAAGAGCTAGGGCAGTTACCTGATGAGCATGACGGGTCCTTGTAACATGAGCAGCCTTGATGAATGAGTTGGCTGTGCCCGATGATGCAACACCTGAATCACTCAGAGCTACCGTCCATCCACTTTGGTCAAGGAAATCACCAAGTGCTGTCCACAAGGCTTTCTCCAAATGGAAGCCACCAAACATGATCACAAATTTATCCTCACCATGCGTAGTAGGCCAGGTCCATTGTATATGCTTGCAGTTAGCAAAGATTGGGCAGTCACACGCCAGCACAGGGGTTTGACCTGGATTGAGGAAGTTAGTGATGGCCTTGAGGACATTCATAGCATGCTTTATCATAGCAGGGGAATCTGCTTTCTCTTGGAAGAGAGGGAGAAGTGCAACCACAGCAGGAGGATCAAGAGGAGGTGATTGCTGAGATGCATGATATGCAGCCCAAGAGATCGGTTCACCTTTTTCAAGAGGATCTTTGTCAAGGAGTTGAGAGGCATGCTGAATCCATCTTCCTTCCTTTTCTCTTGCTTGTTGAAGCTTTCCATCTACAGCTGTCATAGTGGCCTTTGGAACAGTAGTTGATGAGGCTTTGAGGTGGACTGATTCGACTATGCTATAAGCATCAAGGAGTTGAGGTTTTTCATTTGGATTTGCAGGAAGGAACCACTGTGACATCCGCCTACGTCCGTGATGGTCGTGTGTTGGAAATTGGATGACACTTATACCACTGCCATGGAACGACCCTTGAGCTGTAGTGGACGAAGGGTTGTGGTCCAGGTTATCCAGTGCCCCAACAGAAAAGAGGCCTTTCCTGAGAATGGATGGGCACACGATTTGTTCAGCTGTGAATTGTTTGCACATTGTCACTGACAGTTTCTTCTCAAGCTGTAGAACTCGGTCGTAGGAGATGCTTATACCTAGCCTGGCTAGCTGATTGATAAGTTGCTTGTTCCTTGTCATTGTGTGGATGTTAAGGCCAATGTAGATTGGAAGTGGAGGCTCTCTGTCCAGTGACTGCCGTTTATGTGGAGTCGGTTTCATACACCTCTTTTTGGAATTATGGAGGAACATCTGGGCTATCGTGTGACATACTTGTGAGTCATCATCGTCATCATTGTTCTTCATATCTGGTCCATACAGGATCATTGATGATAGGAGTGAAAGACTTGGAAGCATTTTCTGACAATTTGTAGGGAAGCTGCCAGAAAACATGAAGTGTGTTTTCCCGAACATTTCTTGTCTGCAGATTTTTGCAACTTTGGCAAACAGGAAAGCTTCATCTTGGTAATCCTTGTCCTTGAGAGCATCCTTCAGCAGTTGTTGCATGCCTTCAGGGAATACAAGAACAACATTCTTGCCATCTGACTGTTCCTGTACGTCTGTTTCAAAGAAGTGATCCACAAGCTTGGTTTTTAATCGGCCCTTATTCACCGAGACATGATATCCAAGACTTTGAAGACGGTGTTCATACTTCTCGTGGAGATCAGATAGTTTGAAGATGTACTGCCCATCTTGTATTGCAAACTCAACATAAGAAACTAGCTCAACAAATGCTTGAGCATGTGCTCGTTCTCCTTCCACTGTTTCCTTGTTGGACTTGGAAGAACTACATTTCCGCTGATGGCCCCTGTAATTGTTCCTAAATTTTGTCAAACAATCCAAGTGATACTTTGCTTCGAGAGCAATGATATCACTTCCTCGTATTTTTGACATGAGTTTTTCATCTTGCATGTCACTTGCCATTCTCTTGAGAGACTGATCAGCTTCGAATGTTTGGAAATTGTGCAATGTTTTATTTCCAGCTTGTTCACAGAAGAGGCACAAACTCTTGTATTCAAATTCCGATTTCTGGCGCTTTGACCGTCGTAAGTCATTAGGTATACATTCTTTCTCATCTTTACTTTTTCCCTCCAATTTTCTTTTAAGTTTGTTATTATTAAATTTTTGATGACAAGAACGATGCCATGAGGCGTTGTTTCTCACAAATGCTTCAACTGTTCCCTCAGGTCCAAAGTCTACATCAATCGGTAATGAGTTTATTTTCCGGAACTCGTCAACATTTTCCAAGAATGAAGCATAAACTTTTTCTGCATTGTGCATTAATCCTTTTTGTGGACAGTTCACTTTTTCCTGTGTATGTTTCTTGCAGATTATACAAATGCTCCAATCCATGATGACCTATATAAAATGAGAATAAATATACTGAAAATCAAACCTGCAGATACAGGTCACTTACTTTTTTATTTATCCATTTATTTTATTTATTTATTTGTTTATGTTTTTTAAATTTTATTGTATTTTTTGCCTCTCATATCACTCATATTTGTTTACTTATAATCTCTGGTTTATTCAGCTGACATAAAGTTAAACTGCTATAATCTAACGTCATCATTGGCTAGGAAAAATCCAATATAACGGCTTGATAAAAAGTTGATAGCCTTGATTAGTAGGCCTATACTACATGGTAAGTATAGTTATGGGCCGTATGAATAAAGAGTGGCAATTGCTTGAGGGAGCCTGTTACTTGAATCTGTATGCATATAAATTGATTGCAAGAAAAAGCTTTTGCTAGCAAGCTCAAGCATTTGTTAAAAATGTAGGCAATTGCTTTTATGCTTGATCTTATGCTTGAAGTTGAACCAATGCTTACAAGCAGTTGCTACCTTTTATGTATACGGCCCAATGTACAGTATAAACTTCTTAGAATCAATAAAACATGAACCCGTAACTATACCAGTGTAGATAAATATGCTTGGTACCCATTTACAGAGACATTCAGAGAGGCATCGGTCCAATTCTGATGTAAAGGCATAAACTTAAAAACCGCATTGCAGTAATGAATTTTCACCCAACTTTGAATTACCCAGGTCTGACCTATGTGTAAAGTTATGCGGGCTTAAAGTTGATTGGTACACACTTCATCAAATTAGCTCTGATATATGACCATAACACACCCTAATACACCTATAATAATGCACCCAAACACTCACTCGAATTAGATTTTGACCAACCTATGCCCCGTTCAAAGTTGTTAAGG